CCCCAAAACCCCAAAACCCCAAAACCCCAAAACCCCTCGAGAATCTAATCTGTAAATTGGTAAAGTCACTAATGTTAATAAATAAATGTGTTTTTATGCATATAATTTACAAAATAAAATAATTGAAATGGAAAACTACTCTTAACTGCTGCAGTAGACACAGCAAAGCCAGAATGGCCAAGAAAATCAGCAGTCATGTAAGACTCCTTTGCTTGGGAAACTTAACGGCAAGCGAATATTCGTGAAAGACTCCAAAAATCCTCCATCTAACTCTAAGGTTACTCCAGGAGCATCAATTTTGAAAAACCCTATAATCAAGAAAAATACTGCTGGCATTGGTGCAGGCTGTAAGTTTATTACGAAGTTCTTTATTCGAAAAATATAGTTCATAAATTCTAAGATAACGACACAGTCTTTTCAATTTAAAGGCCGATAACACCAGAGGAGAGTAAGAAGAAGTGTCTCAACTGTACGAGTATGGAAGACTTTATTAAAAACTTACAATAGGAAATCAAAAGACTTTAGGTAAAAAAGAAATTCCAAAGTCACTTTACTTTAAATTTCAATTCTCGATGAAAGTCTGATCATTTTAATTTTTTACATAGAACTTGACTAATGATTTACAAATGCAACTTATAATGAATGGTATCAATCCCTAGATGAATGCAGCACCATTTGGAGGCTAAGCAGGTGAGTAGAAATAGTTCTAAAATATCTGCCCTCTTTGTACCAACCAAAAGCATCATTAGAGACCAAACACAGCCACTCGACTTAGAGGTGACAGTGGTATCAGAATAAGAAAACAAAGTATGATTCAAGAGAGAAAGAAATAGATCATTGAGAAGGAGCTAGAGTTCGTAGATTAACTCAAACGAGAACAGACACAGATGCTTCTTGAAACTAATGGATTTAATAAAATGAGATAGTCAAGTATGTTTGGAGGAGGGAATAACTCATTACTTGGAAGCAGTGGGAATGGTATTGGTGCAGCCAATCCATTCCAGATGACAAATCAGTTTGGGCGATAATCTATGCCTCCTATAAAGAAAAAAGTGACCATAGTAGCACAATTACCCCCATTAGTGTAAACAAGCTTAAACTCTTAGAGTACTTCAAATATCTCTTTAGACGGAGATGATATGTAGTTATAGAATGAGAAGACATAATGATGAAATGATTGAATATGACCTAATGCTTAATTAATAGAAGTGAGTTAATATTTATCGATTCACTTCATTGATAATTTTCTTATGTATCTTTGCATTAATTAAAATTAAAGAAGTTAAATTGAGAATAACTATTGACATAAAATTACCCCCACCAATTAGTCAAGCAGCATATATGAGTTACTTCAATTAAAAACTAATACTTTATTATGATTTCATAGACTGCAAACTCTAAATCTTCCATGCCTATTATTCATCTATTCCTATTGTTTCTAAAATGCTCTTGCTCTTCATCATAAATTCTGTCCATCATATTTACTCTCCCTTAGCCCTGATTTTGCTGTACTTGAGGAGCTTGATTTTATTGCTATGCTTAGAATTGCTGCTGAATATGTGCACCTAATGCTCTAATCAATGGCATGCCTAGAGCCATTGCATTCGCTCCTGGTTAATTCTATTACTGATTATTTTGATAAGGAAGTCTGTTGGCGTTGTTATTCTAGTTTTACTGAGCTCTCATTTGATTCAGATAGTGATTTTGGAGAAGAGGTTCTCCGTAGGATGCATCTTCATTATCATCTACCAATCTGCTGTTCCTGCCTGAGGGGTTTGAATTGTGAACAAATACTGGTTAGCCATGGGCTCTAAAATTATCTGGCTGCCCAGACCCACCACTTCTTAGTGGCTAGTATTCTTGTCTTGCAGTGTTGTACATATGTCTGATACCATCTTCAAGATAAAAATGAGAACCATGTTCTTGCACAGTCATATTTCTGAAGTCGTGCGAGTCTGTCTTGATCTTCAGGATAAAGAATACGTAGACCACCAGAATTAACAAATAAACTGCAAATGAAGCTCCATCGTACAGGAATACTGTAAATAGTCCTGATGCAATATTAAATCCTAAGATTACCATGTAAAACCATACAAGCCAAGGTCTTAAAGTCATATAGATAGAGTAAAGTAAGGCGATATAGAAGAATTAAGCTGCGAAAGTTAAGATAGACACAAAAGCCATTCCTAGACATGCTATAATCACATGCCCCACAACTAGAGGGATTACTCCTTTCCTAAGTTTGCGAGCTTGCTCTACATCCATATTAGCTGGTTGCTTGGGGAAAAAGTATTCAATGCATATCATTTTACTTTTTATATAATTATTCTTGTTTTAATTCAAAATTCAAAGTTTGTTTATCTGAACCAATTAAAGGGAACATGGGGTTTTGGGGTTTTGGGGTTTTGTTGCTTTGACTTCCATTA